AATATGCATCCAATACAGTATACATGCTTCGTGAGCATCGTAGTAACAAGTGGGGTTGCACATTATGACGGCGGGGTTGAGCAGGTATGAGGTAAGACGCTCGTCAGGGAACAACATGCGACGCCTCAAAGGCTTTCAGCTCGAATGACACCTATTCACTGCTTGGACTGCTTGATACCACAGAAGAAACGGCGTTTTTATCATTTTCAACAACATGTCCGACTACAGCGATTATTGTTGCAAAAGGCGAACGATTCAACAACTTCCAGTCCCCGCTCGGAAGGGTCACAATGCCATACTCAACTCCAACTACTTGGACGATATTGTCAACGCGATTGGTACGTGGAGCTGCCAACGCATTCTCATAGTGCACTCGAAGGCGCTTCATGAGAACACGGATATTGTCGAGAAGCTGAAAGAAAAACTGGGATCGTTTGTTGTAGGGACAAAGTCGGGTGTGGGCGCTCACTCTCCATACGAAGACGTGCTGGAGATCGCCAGACTATTTCATGAAAAGAACGCGGATTGTCTGATCAGTATAGGAAGTAGCAGCTACTCGGATGCAAGCAAGATCGCTCGCTTGATGCACGCGAATCTCGCTCCAGATAACCTCACAGTAGAGGCCATGGAATCCTTGGTAGACCAAGAGAAGGGAAGTGCAGTTGATCTGAAGGACCCAACGACAAAACTCATCCTCGTACCGACGAGTCTATCCGCAAGCGAGTGGAACAACAACTCATCTGCAACGAACCCTCAAACAAAAAAGAAGCAGCATTTCGCAAGTGAGCATGCGGCGCCGAACCTAATTCTTCTGGATCCTGAAGTAGCGTCCACATCGCCTCGGAAGTTGTGGCTGTCGAGCGGGATGCGCGCGGTAGATCATTGCGTCGAAACGGTATGTACTACCCTCGGAGTTTCGCTAGGTAGAGACTGTATTGACACTGTGTCATGAACAGATGCTCAACGATGACTGCACCAGAGAGGTTTTCCACCACATGGAAGATGCGCTTGCAGTCCTACTCAAAGGGCTAAGAAACTACACAAACGGCCAAAGTGACAGCAACCGACCTGAGCTGCTCGACGGAATCGGGAATTGTCAGATAGGGTCCAGGAACGCGATGATGGGTCTCATCTTGTGGAGCGTTCCGATGGGGCTTTCGCACGCCATTGGACATCAGCTGGGAAGTGTATGCGGCGTTATGCACGGCGTCACGTCTTGTGTCATGCTCGCCCCTGTCCTCCGATACAATGCCTTGAAGTCGGAGAAGCAGAGCGAGGTACAGCAACGCGTGCTGGGAATTTGGAACAAGGTCCTCGAAAGCGACGAGCCAAGCCTTGCGGATGCGGTGGCCAACTTTGTGAGAAGCCTTGGGTTGCCGAGTACGCTGAACGAAGTAGGTGTTACGGAGCAAAAGGACATTGAGAAAGTAGCGGAGCGCACCATGACCGATGTGTTCGGAGCGATGGAAGGTATGGGCGGGAAGGAGGATGTGCTGGCTATCTTGGCTTCAGCAAAAGCCCAAGGCACCGAGGATGGAGGGCTGGAAGGAGGCGCACCGATGTAGAACACGCTCTAGGTAGAACAAACGTATTACTCGCTTATACCAGCTGCGCTCTCGACTTGCCCTTGGGGAAATAATGCAACCGTAGGTCACCCATCGGAAGCTTCTCAGACTTTGCTACATCTTCCATAATGACAGTCGCCAGCTCAGTAGGAAGCTGGCCACCGCCCCATCGCCTCATAGTCCTCCAAATCTCGTATATTCTGCCGCTTTCGTGCAGGAACTTTGTGGATCGACGGAACCAGCCAGCGGTCATGTGCTGAGCCACAGTGTACGAGCGGGCAAATCCCCACCTCTCCCAATCTTGCAGATCTTGCGCGGCCCATATGGGGAGTAGATCACTGGCCCTTGACAACGCTAGCGTTACCGGTGCCGTAGCTTTGTCCCAAGCAATGAGTTTGGGGGTTGATGATGAAGATGTGCGCGGTTGGGTAGAATGCGAGGATGGTGGATCCCACTGATCCACACAAATCGTCAACAGCGCATCATCCAGAATCCAATACAGACTCTCGCGTTGACTGTGTAGGAACCGCTCCAGTCCAACGTCGTTGTGTCGCAGAACATTAACACCCCAATCCACCAGTAAACATGCCGCCTCTGCCCACGATGCTGGCGCGACGTCCACCAGCTTGTGCACGGTCGCGGCAAATTCGCGAGTACGATAGAAGAGCATTTGGTATATTTGCGGGATGACAGTCAGACCATGAAGATCGGCTAGGGTAGTGATGTTCATGGATCGGATGGCAAGGTCCATGGTGTAGGTGGGGTGGTGAGACCCGCGGTCCCATGGTTGCAAAGTAGGGACGCGGAATTGTCCATCTTGCGGCAAGGGATCAGAGCCTAGACGTGGCGGAACCTTGGATTCGGGAGGTAGATTTAGCGCAGGCATCATGGTGACCATCACAGCTACAAGGCAGGCCGGAGTGATGTAGGAGCGATGATTGCGGACGCTGTTGGTCGCGGCCTTACACCAAGTGAGCTGAGCTGAGCTGAGGTTGTTTCGTTGAGGAGCGGGGTACACAGCCCCTACCAGCTAAGGGAGTGCAAGGAAACCTATGGGATAACGATTCAGAAAGCGTGCCTGAGTGTGAAAGGGTCCCTCACGTGGAAGGGCGGCTCCTGCCCATTCGGCACGCTAGCGCTCTCCGACGCCGGACAGCCGGCAGCTCTGGACGCGTACGCCTCATCACACATAGACCCTTCTCTACACAGCCCTTCGGCAATCGCGTGTTATTCGACCATCCGCCCCATTCATAAAATCGCGAGGCCCTTCTCAACAGACTTAAAGGGTTCAATCGCGCATTCTTGCCCGTATACCCATGTCATATGCTCCGATCTAGCCCGTTATGGGCGTCGATCATCGCCCGCGATGACAATGGTAAACCATACGAAGCACCCGTTCCGAATGTCGAGAGAAGAATGCGGTGAACAACAGAGCTTCAAAGCATCTCAATCGAGCGGGGTAAAGTATCACCATGTAATGCAAACCCTCATTCTGGGCTCAATACATCGAATATATCTCATCATGATCAAGATGTAGTCTGTGGCACCATGTCCCTTTCATGCAATATCATCAATGCTTCCTACTTGATTTGAGAGCTCATCCGGCAGTATAAGAAGGTGACTTCCCCATTCTAACATAGCAACAACCAACATCTTTACATCCTCAAGATTCAGAGTTTCTTCTCTAACATCTTTTTCTCATCCTTCATTCTGACCTAAGGGTCAAGCAACATACAAGATGATGAAGTCCTCTTCCATCATCACCATGTTCTTCTTCTTCTTCGGTGCGGTCTTCGCCGCTGTCGTCCCCTCTTTCGTCCCCTCTGCCGCATCCGCCATCTTTGCCACACCTGGCCCCCGTTCCGAACCCCTCTGTGCGCCTCTCGGTGACAGCACTGCCCCGGAGCCATCCTCCAACGCTCTCTCGGCTTTCACAGATGACGAGAAGTACGACGAGTTGGCCTTGACGGCCCCGATTCCTGCCGGATACACTGCCACCATGAAAAACGCAAACTGTGCCTTCTCGTCCAACAGGTACATGCTGTACGTTCAACTGGACTCATACAACCCGGAGGCTTGCGCCGAACTCTGCAACAACCATGAAGGCTGCGACTCCTGTAAGTTATACCTTCCGGCATCACAGTTTCCTACAGCAAAGCTAATCGTCTCCTTTCGTGTAGTCAACATCTACATCCAGCGCAGCCCGTCCAAAATTCCTGGACCTGGCTGCCCAAACCCTGCTCCCATTGCCGTCGCCCAATGTGCCCTCTACTCCTTGCCGGAGGAGGCTTCTTCTTGCACAAACTTCGGTCAGCACATTGGCCCCGCGGATGCCAACGGTGAGGCCTTCAAAACTGCTATGCGCAGCTCCAACGGTACGTTCTTCGCCTATACATCTGCATACCAGCTCAAAACTAATCAGTGTACGCAGCATACAACAGGATCGCTATCAAGCAAGTCACCGTGACTGTCACCACTACCCACCACATGCACACGACCTTCACCAGGCTTGTCTCACGGAGTGATATTTCACGGAGAGATATCGCCACTACTATTGACATTGGTGATCGAACAATCAACATGACTACTACTGTCACACACACTCGTTCTGCAAAGTCCAAGTCTGTGGCTGCTGGAACCCCGGCTGGTGTTGTCACTGTCACTCGATCGGCAGATCCTGCGTCTTACGTTGGTACGGTCACTGTTACCCGTCCGGCAAACCCGACCGCACATGCTGGCACTACAACCGTTACTCGGACCAGGTCAACTCCCACTGCTCATGCCGGCACTGTCACTGTGACCAGGTCCCAGAGCGCAGGCGCAACGCCCTCCCAGTTCCAGTCTGTCATCTACACAACCGTCACATCCTCCTACGACAAGCGTGCCGAGCCGTATACTGCGCCTGCCGATTACGTCACCGTCACTGTGGAAGGAGAACCTACATACGTTGACACTACGACCACGACCATCATTAACACGTCTGGCGTAGTGACCGTAACTACCACTATCCCCAACACCCTACCTGCAGAGACCACGACCATCACCATTGATGACGCTGAGACAACTACCTACCCTGACAAGCGCAGCCTGAGCCCTGCTGTCAGGGCTGAGGCAATGAGCACTTTCACGATTGACGAGAACTACGTGTACACTGGTCCTACGGATGTGCCTATGAAGACCTATACTATCTACCCAGACCACTAGAGTGAGTAGTAGAGGTGCATCTGACTTTCTTGTGCTTTGGAAATTTGCTGGACTTAGCGCGGAGTCTGGCGTTAACAAGAGAATTGGATTTGACTGTGCGGGCTGATGGTGTCTTGACTGCTTGCGCTGTAGACATAACTAGCTAATGATAACAACCCGTAATACAACTTGTGACTTTCCAGTGATGCAAACCAGCCATGTCTCTCACTCCCCAGCACGATCATCGCAAAACTACTCTCCCTCCAGAACTGTCTTCGACGTCATCCCAATGCACGCAAAGTGGAACCACTCGCCCGCGCAATTCTCTCCATCACACGCCACCATCCCACCAGTCTCACGCCGACATCCTCGGATACAGTAGTGGCTTGACTCCGACTCCGGCTCATCGTCGCCGCCATCCTCGAAACCGTCCTCAGAAGCGGAGGCAGAGCCATCCTCGTCGTCGGCAACCAGGATTGGTGTGTCTCCACTGGCACCAACAGCAGGAAGCCCGGCGACTACATCGTCCTCAGCCTCCTCAACCACCTCACTCTCTGCGTCATTGTCGGCGCCAGGCTCCTCAGCGAACAGCTGCTCGACGACAGTAAGGGGAACGTCGGCGGCAAAGGCTACGAGCTCAGCCATCCTGCGCCTCTTGCGCGGCATGTCGTCGTCAGAGTCATCTGACTTGCGCTTGTTGGAGGGAGGCGAGCAGGACGGACAAGACCAATGCACAGGGCGATCTTTCAGCCCTACACAGCTGAGATGGTAGTACCGGGGGCGGCACCGGCGGTTGACGCACCCAATTATGGGTTTAAGGTAGGTGTTTGGGGTGTCGCAGGTGCAGATGCCGGGAATTGGAGGAGGAGCGCCAGCGCTTCCAGAAGTGGCTTGCTCGGTGATGGTAGAAGTCATGATAGCTTTTGTGAGGAGAGATTTGAAGATTGTATAAAGAAGTGGCTTGAAATTGGTACTGGTAAGAGGAGATGGGAGTAGAGGTTGCTGGGAGAAAGTAGGAGAGGCCGGAGCTGCTTGATATAAGGAAGCCCAGGGCCGTACTGCAATGCTGGTCTATTGTATTTGTGATCACAATAGCTAGATGAGAATACCGCGACGACAATAGCACAGCAATGAGGGCGAAGTGAAGGTGGAATTCTTGGCACGGATGTGAGAGACGAAATCGCAAACTAGATGTAACGAACAATAGGCGGAGCGTTTGCAATAGTCACAAACAATCCTTACTGCGCTCTCACAGTACATAGTATCCTACTCTCCGTGACCAACGATCTGCCTCCTCCCATGTACACCCTCCCATTGTTCCCAAAGCCCCTTCCAAACATCTCTCTCACTCCTGCCTAGACCGGCGAACATAGCGTCTAGTCCATCCCTGTGCAAACTCGCCGTGCCGATAACTTCCCAGATGCCTGGCATCAACTTCTCCCTCACCTCCTGATCTAATCGTCCATTGAGCTGGTAGCGGCAGAACGATGCGAGGAGAGGGTACAGGAATTTGCTAGCCTTATCGCGGGCTGCCTTGATGGGGTCATTGAGGTCTTTGGAGTTACGTGACTGATGATGTTGGTGTGCCTTTGTGATAGAAGATTGCGGTGGGTTGCACAGAGTCGAGAGAAGGCGGGTGAATTGCGCTGCATTTGCAGGTGTGAGACGCACTGGCTCCGTAGCTGTGACGGTACGTAGCCACGAAGGCAGAGCGCCACTGCGACTAGCATTCGGAATGAAGAGACAGAACAGCAGGCCTTGCAGAAGTGGTAAGAGGAGGTGGAAGCGTCCGCCTAGGCGGCCACGATGTACGAGTAGGGTGAGGCGACTCGTATGGCAGAGCCTTGAGAAGATCTCAGGAGCATACTGAGATGACAGTACGGGGCTGCTTCGGGATGTGAGCTTTACGAGTACGCTGAATACGCATTCGATACTGTGTTGTGAAGCAAGCGAGGGTTTGTCGTTCAGGATTGTGTCAATGCAGCCGAGCAGAGCGTTGAAAGAATCATAGTCGGAGCTCTCGGCAAGCAGGACGCAAATCCTTGGTAGCAGTGCAAGCTGTCTCTGCTTGAGCTCGGCGTTGGATTCCAGCTGGTCGTCCATGGTCTTGATAAGATCGTCGAGGATGCGGTAGGACGCGGCAAGGTTTGGCTGCTTTTGATGAACAGTCAGTGTTGTGACCAAGTCCAGCTTCTCGTGGAAGGCAAGCGGGCCGAGGGTGTTGCGCAGTGTTGTATACACGTTATCTTGTATGCGAACTGGGCTACTTCTGAGGACCGTGAGCGCCAGGCTGATCAGCCACTTGACCTCTGGGTAGAGCTCGTATTTGGCGATCAATGTGTATACTCGTGCGAAGTAGTCTACAACTTCGCTCGGGATAAGAACCGATGGATCGATGTATTGCTCGAGGTCAATGGCGTCCTTGAGCCATGTGCGGAGCCATGCCTGCACGCGGCCAAGCTGTTTCACTTCTTTCAAGGCGTCTATGGACAGCTCGTTGAAAGCGTCCAACGACCCTTGAAGCAGTGCAATATCCTCACTACCAAGACATTGCTTGAGCAGGTCGACATAGCGCTCGATGTGAAGCAATGAGTTTTGCTTTTGGGAAACCGACGTCGCTCGCAAGACCGAGAGCCTTGCTAGCGTGCACTTATTGGTGGCTTTTGCAATGGATAGCAGCCGTCCTGCGTAGGCGATGAAGAACTCTTTGTTTTGGGCTTGAGCCTGATTCGGAATGATATGGCCAAGGGTTCTTTGGACGAGCTCTCGCAGGAGCTGCAATGCTGCATCTGTTTCGAGATTTTGACGATGCAGCTGTTCTGCGACGTCGAATATCACGTCTGCGTCGGTAGAAACTTTGGCTTTCGCATTTGGAACATATTGGAGATGTGCCATGACGCTTAAGGGTACTACTGTGTCGCTCTGTCCGAGGTCGAGGAGTTCGGTGGTGCGGTCCAGTATGGCTTGTCTTTGCTCGCGGGACAAAGCCGAAGGTTGGATATGAAGTATTGCTTCGCCGACCACAGCAGGCATCTTGTTTTCGGCTCCCTGCCCGAGAGCCTCCACAAGAGCTGCACAGTATGCGTCTTGTATGACGGAGTTTCCATGCTCGAGGATGGACTGAGAAAGTGATTGACAGATAAGATCCCTGGTAACGCTATCGAATTGAGGTAGCTTCGATAGTAAGGCATGCAGAGATTGGCGGCATGTATCCTTATCTGCGTGCTCGAGGAGACTGATAGAGTATGCGCAGAAAACCTGGATCATATTCTGCTGTGCGTCGGGTTCTAGCTCACTGGAAGTTAATGAGCTAATTGCCTTGCCTAAACCACTGCGAATGATCTCCTCCGAACCGGACAGGGTCTGGAGACGATCACAGGTATTAAGCCAGAACAATGTTGCAGCAGCTCTTGCAGATGCATCTGCGCCTTCGCCGGCGTCTCGGCGCCCTGCTGACTTGACTTTCAAAGCTTGTTCGAGCAGCGGATAGAGTAGCTCATGTTGCAGCGGAGATGACGCGTGAAGCTCGATGGGCCATAACTTCTCTAGTAGCTGGCACAGTGTGAACCAGGAGAGATGGGCATAGGTGTAACGGCTGTACTTGAGTTCCTGAACCCATGTCTTGTATGTGAGGAACAAAGCATGAAGCTCAGATTTAAGTGCTTCGATCGTGTTCTCGGACTGGATTGATTGAAGAAGAGCCGGCATTAGGACAGCGCTGCTTGCTGCATTCTTGTAAGCGGCGAGTTTCCTAACCTTGACGTTCTCTTCGGCGGAGGTCTCGATTGCCACAGCAAGCTGCGCCAGGCGCCCCGCATGCTCCTGAATCAGTGTTGTTATCTGGTTTTGGGTCAGGGATGGTTCGAGAGACTCTGCCAGAGCACTGTGCAGGGCGCGATCTTCCCAAATGATTTCCTGTCCGTCCTTGAGAGAATTGCGCTTGCCGTGCCTGTAGCTCTTGACCAACTGCTCATCCCATCTCCGGATGAAGCCAAGTAGATTCCTGTGGCGCACAAACGCCAGCATCAGTGGCTTGATGATCCTCTCCAGAATTTCAGCGCGTCCTAAGGGAGCACCGGCCTCGTTGTTGGACGCAGAATGCCGTTGTTCTTTAGAGCCAATGGCTGTCTGCTTGTGGATGAAGCCTGTACCCTCCAACTCTGAAGCGGTTATCTTCTCGAACAAGAACTCAGTAAGGTCAGTCTGACGCTCTTGCATGACTTTGGCTCCCAACTTCGACTCCACAAAGACTGATGAGTCGAGCTGAATAAGAGATGCGATGAGGGACCAATGCACCTGCTTCTCCTGGCGTTCGGGGTACTTTACACCACAGTGATACCAGAAGATCTTTTTGACAAGGTCTGCAGAAAGGCTTACTTCATGCGCTTGCAGAACGTGAATAGCACCGCTAAGCGCAGTAACGGCCGTCGGTCGTGTGATGAACTTCGGAGGTGTGGTTAGCGAGCACCCAGCACACTCTGCAAGCGCTGAAAAGACAGCCTGTATCCAAGGCTTCTCCATAGCTCTGCTCCTGGGCGTCCGTGATGGAGAGGCGCGGATTGCTAGATCGAGCACATGAGGGACTGTGTTGAAAAGAGATGCGAGCTCTGTAGGTAGCGCGTCGCCACCATCCTCGATCTGCGCAGCCTGGAGTAGCTTTGCGCGCAGCGGTTCCAGGTTACCTGCAAGGACTGTGGTATCTCGGGCGTTCGGACCAACATCGTTAGAGCCTGTAGCGACACTGACATCTGCAAAGAAAGCTGCTCTTGAAGGTGCGAGCAGGTGTCTCGCCAGAAGCTTGTCGAGCGCTGCGATTGCGCGATCAAGGGTTCTCTGAGAGCCTCTTGTTGTACCATCGCTACGCATCTTTTTGAGAAGTTCCAGCAATGTCAAGATAGGTACAAGGCACTCGGTGTTGAACTCCTCGGCGGATGCCCCAGTCTCGTCTTTGACCTCAGCGGTCCGCAGGTCCCACATGTCGAGCGCAAGCGACAGGTTCAGGTACTCGTCCAAAGTAGTATCCTCGGAAGTGGATGGAGGAGTCGCGCACAATATCCGGACAGCAGTAAGCCAGAACCTTAGGATGCGCGAGGCTTCTGCGCTGTCCGTCCTCAAAACCATCTTCATCAGCTCAGCCTGGGTACTGTCGTCGCTTTGGTCGCTTCCGGCTAGGTGAGCGATAGAGTTTACTACAGTCCTGACCACACCAAAAAGACGGTCTAGGTTTACAGGGCCAGCTGCTGTCGATGCTGCCGATGATGCTTCCGCTGTTCCTCGTTTGCGCTTCTTGGATGGTTTGGTTCCTTCGCGGATGGTCGCGCTCGACTCGGAGTCATCTTTCATGTGAACGTCTTCTGAAGTGGCCGTCGACTGTAGGACTGCGTCTGTGTTGAAGTTCTCAACGAGGGTTCTCTCCAAGATACTGGGAAAGGCGGCGTCGCGTAGATGCGGTGCGCTTCTTGAGACGGGCAGGACATGTATCATCCAGTCGAGAAGCTGCCACGCGCTGGCATTTGTTCGCGCTGTCCGCCCGGTTTCCGTCTCGTCTTTCAACTTGTCGAGGATCCATCGCAGAACCCATTCCGCTCTTGCGCGCACAAGTCGTCGTATGATTTCTGATCTTGTGTCGTGGTCCTGTATGGTACTCCAGTCTTCGGGAAGGCCTATGATATGCGCAGCTTGGCGGATCTGTTCGTCGAGGTCGGAGAAGTCTTGGTTGATGGCTTGCAGCCGCGGTCGGGTCGACGCAGGGTCATTCTTGGAGGCCTGTTGTGTTGTCAGCTATGTATATACCCATGAGCATGAAGAACTCCTACTGGCTTGATTGGCGCCATCTTGTCACCTCGTTCCCCGTTGTGATTGCAAGAAATGGAGCAGATCGCAAAGGCCTGGTATGCGGAAAAAGTTTGGGCACGGACCAGCCATCCTAGTCGTGCCTGCCCTGCCAAGTGCCGGCGACGTCAAAGTTCCGCTTCGAGCTCCGCCCAGCGCCCATCAACACCTCGTCGAACCGCTGTCCATCACCCCCAGCACACCGAGTGCGCCCTTGAACCCCCCAATTGCACTCGAAACACTCCCGCCATGGCCGACAACACCCCCCAGCCCGTCGCTCCCATCTCGCGCACCACACGTCCCATGAGCGAAGCTCTCCTCAACGAAAAGGTACAATCCCCGGGAAAGAGGCCTCTGAGGCATGGCAAAAACATCTGCACATCTTGAAAGAGGCATCAAAATATGCCAGAAGCGGGGTAGTCGAGCAATGGCAGTCTTGGCCCGCCTCACGCGACTACTGCCAACTTCCGTTCGATCATACGCCGAGACAAGAATGTTGGAACGCTATCGGACAGTCTTGCTAACATAATCCCAGTGGGACCGCTGCCTCTCTTCAATGCTCATCCGCTCCGGCCTCGGCCTGTCATTCGGCGTCGTCTTCTCCGTACTCCTCTTCAAGCGCCGCGCATGGCCCGCATTCACCGGTCTCGGTTTCGGTGCCGGAAGGGCCTGGGAAGAGTGCGACAACGTAAGATACCATTAGTCTTGGAATTGGCATAAGAGACCGATCACTGACAGAGGAACAGTCCTTCAAGCGCGCAGCATCACCCCCGAAAGACGGCCTCCGCATTATCCGACCATAAGCCAACTATCCTCCACGAGCGACGAGATGGATCGGAACTATTCTATGTAATTTGAACTTTGCATGCGGACGATGCGCTGTACAGTAGGGCATGGTATAGATCATTTTGGGCAATTGAATGCTGTACTTTTCCACGACCGCCGCACGATTTCTTCCAGCTACACCCAGCTACACTTTCTCCATCATATACTCCCTCCCTGCTATTGATATTGCTCTCGTCATCTTCTCAGGTCCTATCATTTCTTCTCCTTCTTGCATGGTTTAACGTTTTGACAAATCTTGCCCATATCCACCCCCGCCTCACTTGACCCACTCCTCAAACTTGTACTCCTCCGCTCCATCCGCCACTGTGAACCTGTACGTACTAAACACGATACTCTCATACAGCTCGCGTCCAGCAGCCCTCGCCTTTCTATGCCACGGCCCCAGCCCTCCTTTGTACGCATCTTCCCTGCTGTGCCAGAAGCCTACCACCATTGTCAGCGGAGCCCGTCCTAAACCACTTCACTTTAGATATTGGAAGGAAGGGAACAACAACGTACAAGTAGCAAGATTTCTCCTCTCCCCATCTGCCTTCCCGAACCAATACTTCAACAGCCCCCCACTCTCACACGCCTCCCGATGAGATTCTTCGTCGAGTCGATACAGATACTCCTCGTCGATTCCTTCCTTGAGCTGCGAGCGGAAGACCACAACGTAGAAACTGGTTTCTCTCCAGGTGAAGTTTTCCCTTGCGATCAGTTCGCGCAGAGCGGTCAGGACGGAGTCGAAGTTCAGGGCCTGGGTGTAGGACGCAGTTGCGTATGTGGGGGTCGCTGGTTTCAGGACTGTAAGAGCTAGTGCGAGCAGCCTGGAAGAGGCGGTCAGGTGCGGAGAGGAAAGATCGAGGTAATGGCCTGGGATGTTGTATGGGGAGGAGATCAGGAGAGTGGAGGATGGCTGTTCAGCTCGTAAGGCGGTCTTGTTGGACTGCTCGTTGCGAAGTGTGAGTTGCTCATGTGCGGCGGCCTCGAAACGCAGTTTATCGAAGTCGGTGGATATGAATCTTGGGTCGAGGAGGCCATGAAATTGAGTTGAGTCCAACATGGGCGGTATCGCCAGTGGCTTCATGGAAACCTTGTGTGGTGACAAGGGAGTTGTGACAGCGATGTTGGCGCCAGGAGTCTGTATCGTCATCGAAGTGACCTCCAGAGCCATAATGTGAATTGCACTTGTGGGCACTATTTGGGGGATCTGTTGTATGTAGATGTCCGGTACCGAGATGTTGCACGAAGTATCTTCCACTGCGTACTACTCCTAGCTCTTAAACAGCATCGGTCTTGGTAAGTACTGTAACGGTGACAGCCTACAATTTGACATTAATCGGTGGAATACAAGACGGATGTAGTTGTGTCGCGGATTCGAATAGGCAGTGGTAGGAGGCCGAGCTCGGCGCTATGAAGGCGCGGTGACTGATGGGTGACCTTTCGCTACAAGCACGTTTGATCACGCAATCTGACGAATACGATACTAGGCCCTCCAAGATCAGCACACGCATCAAGGTCGGTCTGTTGAAGGGTAGGAGCGACTGTACGCTCTAACACGTGGAGAGAGATGGGTCTGATGGGTCCGTTGGCCGGTTACGTACAATTCCATGAATACCCTGGCTGCATCTGCAGTGAGCTATGATCCTAGCGACATTCGGAAAAGAGCGCAGATGAAGGCCACGTCCAAATTTTGAAAGTTAAGCTTTCCCTCTTTCCATATCGATTATCACACGTTGCAAAAGACCGAGGAAAGTGGACGTGTCTCGCCTGCCAGGTTTCCCGTCTCGGTCATCCTTTGTAATCGCCACGTGGATATCCAGCCCTTGCGCATCCCTTACGCCTTGCTAAAAGAGAGACCGAGTACAATTACACAGAGGGTATCAAATAAGATGAGAGGCATACAAGGTATGCAGGTCAACCGAATTGTCGTAAAGAAAGGGCTTATTCCACAATCGCCGTCTGCGCGAGCCTATACATGCGTTGATAGCCAAATTGATGCTGGTCTTTTGTCGGGGGTACCTCGCAGCCATACTCTTCAATGCAAGCGTCAAAGGGCTTGTTCTGTAAGCGGTTGTCTCCCGGCGGTAGCGGCAGATCGTTTCCTCGATCTCGCAGCTCGGTCTTGAGCTCCATCAGGTTACCCCACAAGATGAAGAGCTTCTCCTCGAGTTTCTTGAGAACCTTGGGCTGATTCGTGAGACTGCGAAAGTATTAGTAAGGTAGTAATCGTGAAGGAACAGGCTTGCTCACTCAACAGCGTTCATCTTTAGCAGAAACTGCGCAGCTTCATTGTTGACGACCACGCGCAGCTTCTCGGCCACTGTATCGCGAGGGACGTTGGCATCTTCGAGTAGGAGAACAAATCCCCATTCCCACTTCTCGTTCGCATGGGCACCAGTCGAGCTCTGGCGCTTGGGATGCTTGTTCCACTTCCTGTCTCTTGTACTATGCGCGAAGAGCTTGACTTCAGGAGGATAAACATCGACTATGCGCACGCGAGATCGATGTCTGCAGTTGATAAATGGAAGTTCAAATGTGGTGTACTTCTCTGTTGTGGTCACCGTCCGGTGAGGATTGTGTATGATCTCGGAAATTGTGGATAGTTTCATGTGGGGGAAAGCGGCGGTGACTGAGGAGAGTCAGTGTGGAAGAAGAAAGAGGCCGGGCAGTCTTACCGTTTGTGTTAATACCACCACGACCTTTTTCCCATTCTCGCTCTGTTCGCTGGAGCTCTTCCAGTTCGGCCTCCTTGTCTGCTCGCGCCTTCAGTTTCTTGACCTCTCTTTTCTCTTTTCCAGATTTGGCAGAAGGCTGCTTCGGTTCATTCTGCAATGACTGGAAAGCTGTTTTGGTCTCGCATTTCTTTTCGTACTCTTCTCGCCGTTTGTTAATTGCTTCGATCTCGCCCTCGTCCTTCAGGAGCATGATATCGACTTTTGAATCGTTCATTTTGTCTTCATGTAAAGCACCCTCCAACTTGCCATTTGTAGCCAGCTTGGCTCGCATGTTTCTTACAAAGACAAAGTCACCCTGGCCAAGGTTTTCCTGTATCCAAGCCGCATTTGCTCCATACACGGTGATGTTGAGGACCATGTAACCAAATGGACTACTCCAGCGCCTTTCTCTGACCGGGAAATCTTTTTCTGAGTCTGGATCTGGGTAGTAGAACATTTGTTCATTCGGAGTATAGTCGGTCACTTTCAAGTCGACTCGGTCACCTAACTGAGTATAGTAGAAGTTGACAACCTGTGCACAAACATCGTAGAAGGTATCAAGTTGCAGATCCTTGATTAAAGACTTCTTCCTTGCTGTCTTGGCTTTGGAAGCACTAATGGCCGCATGCTGCTTCACTTGTGGTGCTGCGCCCTTGGATGCATGCTTTAGATGTATGACAGCCATCTGCTCTGGAATCGTCGGGGGAGGGCCCCCAGTCCTTTCGTGAGGCAGCTTTTGACTGCCGGCCTGAAACGCCTCGCTCAGCCCCGGAACGGGAATCCTGTGGCTTGGGAAGACGACTATGTGGCAGGTCCTAGAACCAATGGCGTCCATGCGAAACTGGTACTCTTGCAGCTGCCACCTTCGGAGTATGACGACATCGCCAACGGTCTTGGGAAACTTGTCTTCGGTTGGTCTGAACAATCGGCAGGTGATGCTTGATTCACCTCCAACCTCACCAGACGTGAAGTCATCTTGAATAGTGAAGTTTAGGGCCATGTCCTTGCTTCGCGTTGTTTTGGGAAGATCAAGACTGACCAGCACGCCGATTAGACTGACCGTGGACTTCGCCTCGGTGGCATCTTTGATAGCCGTGAAGCCGTTGGGCAGCTGCAGCGGCATTGCAGCTGGAGATAGCCGAAAGCGGTTAGCGTGGACTGCAAGGCCGTCAAAGGAGAAGCAATTGCAGGAGAGGCGAAGTGGCTGAGACTAGGCCTTTGTCTGTCGTAGTGGTCTCGCAATACGGGCGTGCAGGTGTGACAAACAGCTGCAGGGTGGCGGGGGCATATCACTGCGACAGTCGCGACGCGTCGTGGTGGTTGCTTGGGTAGAGCGCTCGAGCCAAGCTGCTAGCGCCAATACCCGCTTCGCCGCTTCCGCTTTCAAAATCACCCCTCTGGTAGGAAAGTTTACTCCCCTTTACAAACAAACAGCCGCACCCAAATCTTGTCCGACTCCCACACTGCACGCCCACCAGAGTCGCTAGCATGGCCGACAAGTACATCCCCGAGCACCGTCGCACGACGTTCAAGGCGAAGAGCGCCTTCAAGCCAGACGAACTCCGCCGCCGCCGTGAAGAGCAACAGGTCGAGATCCGCCGGGCGAAGCGTGAGGAGAACCTCGCAAAGCGCCGCGGTATCGCTGGACGGGACCAGCCGGGCGCCTCGCTCGGCGCTGCCCCCGACAGCGACGATGAGGGCGGCAACATCGAGAGCCAGGTGCGTGTATACCCCACCATCCCGTGCCTCAGCGAGCACAAAGAGTGAGAGAGTAGCAGGCTGACATAACGCGATGTAGCTCAACGAGGAGCTCCCCCAGATGGTAAAGGGCGTCTTCTCAGAACAGATCGACGAGCAGATCCAGGCGACGACCAAGTTCCGCAAGCTGCTGTCCAAGGAGCGCAACCCCCCGATCGAGCGCGTTATCGAGACCGGCGTCGTGAGCCGCTTCGTCGAGTTCCTGCGCTCCCCGCACACGCTGGTGCAGTTCGAGGCCGCCTGGGCCCTCACCAACATCGCGTCGGGCTCGGCGCAACAGACACAGGTCGTCATCGAGGCGGGCGCCGTGCCCATCTTTGTCGAGCTGCTCAGCAGCCACGAGCCAGACGTCCGGGAGCAGGCCGTCTGGGCCCTGGGCAACATCGCCGGTGACAGCCCCGCATGCCGCGACTTTGTCCTGCAGGCCGGTGCCCTCCGCCCGCTGCTGGCCCTGCTGGGCGACAGCCGCAAGCTCAGCATGCTGCGCAATGCCACCTGGACCCTGAGCAACTTCTGCCGCGGCAAGACCCCTCAGCCCGACTGGCAAACTGTGAGTTCTGCTCGCTGCCCCACTTAAGTCGAAGTACTAATTGTCCAGCAGATCCAGCCTGCCCTGCCCGTGCTCGCCAAGCTCGTATACTCGCTCGACGACGAGGTCCTCATCGACGCCTGCTGGGCCATCTCGTACCTCTCCGATGGCTCCAACGACAAGATCCAGGCCGTCATCGAGGCCGGCATCCCCCGCCGCCTCGTAGAACTGCTCATGCACGCCTCGACCTCCGTCCAGACCCCCGCCCTGCGCTCCGTCGGCAACATCGTGACTGGCGACGACGTCCAGACCCAGGTCATCATCAACTGCGGCTCGCTCCCCGCGCTGCTGTCCCTCCTCAGCTCCACCAAGGACGGAATCCGCAAGGAGGCTTGCTGGACCATCTCCAACATCACCGCCGGCAACTCGACCCAGATCCAGGCCGTCATCGATGCTAACATCATCCCCCCTCTGATCCACCTCCTCCAGAACGGCGACTTCAAGACGCGCAAGGAGGCCTGCTGGGCCATCTCCAACGCCACCAGCGGTGGTCTGCAGAAGCCTGCTCAGATCCGCTACCTCGTCCAGAGCGGCTGCATCAAGCCCCTCTGCGATCTCCTCGCCTGCCCCGACAACAAGATCATCCAGGTTGCCCTCGATGGTCTTGAGAACATTCTCAAGGTCGGCGAGATGGACAAGGAGGCCAGCGAGGGTGGTGCTGGCGGCGAGCCCATCAACCGCTACGCTCTCTTCATCGAGGAGGTCGGTGGCATGGAAAAGATCCACGAGTGCCAGAACAACGCCAACGAGGAGATCTACATGAAGGCCTACAACATCATCGAGAAGTACTTCGCCGACGAGGAGGGTGAGGCGGAGAACATGGGCGAGGCCGGACCCCAGGTCAACCAGGACGGTCAGTTCGGCTTCGGCGCCGCTGGCCAGCAGCAACAACAAAACTTCAACTTTGCCAACGGAGGTGACTCCATGGACATGTAAGCGGGTCTAGGTCCGCGACGAGTCCGAAGTTGAAACGTTGCATTTCAGTGCAGCCCTTCCACCACGCTAGCCAGCCACGAGAGCACGACTAGTAGTGTTTGCAGTATCCTGGACGAACACGGAGATCATACACGATATGATACATGATCCACGGAAGTGCTATGATTGCGAGGACCTTTGTGTTTCCTTAGCAATACCCCCATCCTTTCCAGCTATCACTTCGCCATGATTTCAATGAAGCCTTAAAGATACACCGTCTTGTACCCCACCCATGTTCAATAACCGCATCATATCCCCGGCGTTGCGTGTTTGTCTAGCTTGTCTGAAGATCGGAATGGTTGGACTGGGCGGTCTGCTCTAGAATGGCGCTCTACACAATTGGGTGCAAGGGCAACATGCGCTCGCAGTCCAGCCGCGCCAGCCAGATAGCTGAATAAATCGCCGAGTAATCGGCTTACAACATAGCCTGGTCGACATGAACGAAGTTGCATGTGATTGCTGAACTAACATTGCCGCTAGCTGGGAAAGTAACACGTGCGTCATCCGCGGAACCCTGATCACCCCGCCCCGGCATGCCTCCGCGAACCACGCGTGGGGTTAGCTATCTTTGCTGGCTCGCTTCGTGATAGCATGTCGCGTGTCTCAAGATGAAATCCGTAATATCGCGTGCGCGCATACACGACGTCTCTGCGGTCTGCGCAGAATCCAATGATATCTCAAGCAACGCCCTGGACCGATGGCGCAATCATCGCGAACACACCGCCGCCCCGAACTCGCAGCCAGCGCACCACCATCTTGACACAACTGCTATTCCACACATTCAGCACCAGGGTCACTACTTCTGCGTGATTTGAGACGCTGAAGTTTGACTACACAACAACAGATACCTAACATGTGTAGGTTTATGGTAAGCAGAGCACCATAGACCCGCGCAGTACGCAGCTAACACCCGCAGGTCTACAAAGGCAAGGATGAAATACTCCTCTCCGAGCTCATTCTAAACCCTTCGCACTCCATCCTCACGCAATCCTTCGACTCGCGCCTCCGCCTAGTACGTTACCATCCACCACCTACATCACCCCCTTCACTAACCACCACTAGGACAGACGGCGCCCACACAACGGCGACGGTTTCGGCATCGGCTACTACACCTGCCCATCCCTCGGTCCCACGCCCTGCGTCTTCACCTCCACGATCCCAGCATGGAACTGCATAAACCTCTCGCGCATCGCGTCCAAAACCACGTCGAGCCTCATCTTCGCCCACGTCCGCGCTACAACCGAGGGTAACCTCAGCGACAGCAACTGCCACCCCTTCAGCTATAAAAGCCTCATGTTCATGCACAACGGCGGCATTGGATGCTGGAAACAGATCAAGCGGAGACTGGCTATGAGTCTGGACGAGAAGTGGTTCAACGTCGTAGGCGGGAGTACGGATAGCGAGTGGGCGTTCGCTACCTTTCTCGATTGTCTCGATAAAGCTGGTATTTCACCCGATAAGGATGTTGAGCCAAGTGTGGGCTTTGGACATACGGTGCTGCGCAAAGCGATACTGAAGACGATTGAGCGGCTCAACGGCTTCATCAAAGACGTCGTGGGCGAACAAGGCGTCGGCGAGGAGGATAGTAGGAGTTTGCTCAACTTCGCTGTGACGGATGGTGTTAGCGTGGTTTGCTCGCGGTACGTGAGCAGTAAGACGGATGAGGCAGCTAGCCTCTTCTTCAGTAGCGGAACGAGTTGGCGCGAACTCAACGCTCAGTCTCAGGACTCTGATGCTGGTGTTTCTGCCGATGACGAGGAGAGGGAGCGGGACTACGTTATGGAACGTAGGGACAAGGGGAGTGATATCGTGCTTGTGGCTAGCGAGCCGTTGACGTTTGAGAGGGGTACGTCATTCTTCGTCTTTTCCGATGCATCGTGTGCTAACGAGAACAGATAACTGGGTTACAGTCCCGACGAATAGTACGCTTACTATATCGAAGCAGACGGTCATGATTCATCCCATTGTCGATGAGTTCTATAGCCCCAACCCGGCGCACGAGCGGAGCGCGAACTTCGCGCAGGCGAAAGGGCAGACAGTCACGGGCAGTGATAAGAGGGTTCTAGGTGCTGTCGGGGACGCGGCTTAGTGAAGAACTTGGAGAGTCAGAAATATTGTATTGGGTTGGCCGTGGCCTTGGGAATCTACGTGACGGCCGTAATCTAGTCCAAATCAGTCATCATGTAATGGTTGCATTGCATATTGCAGTTGTATTCCGAAAGCAGACGCGAGCAAGTCAGCCAGCCCCATGTTGGAATTCGACTCTCCTCCCCTGTCGAGCTAGGTTAGAGAATATCGCTCTTCAACAGTTCGTGTGTCGTAATATCAAGGTTTCCGCTTGAGGACGTCGCTGCTAGCCAAAGACTCCATCCACAACCTCGCTTTCTCTCTCTCTATCTTGACCACATCTGCATGCTCTTGCCCTGGAGACTTCTTCGCTGCCATCTTCATGTCCGATATCGCCTTCTCGATGACGGGATGGGTCTTGTCGTCGCGCACCGAATATGATGCCTCTGCCCTATAGGGATTGATGTTGACTGAAGCTTCGTCTTCCATGAGAGGACCATAGTCTCGAACCACGGTCTGGCAGAACTCCTTCCAACCTCTAGTTAAGATTTCTTGCCCTCGTTCCTGTTCTTTCGTGGCGAGGCAGCTGTATTCAATGCTCCATTTTGCCAGCTGCTTCCAGCTCCAAAGGGACATGGTGGGGTCGCCGACTATGATCTGGTAGAACTCGTGTGACATTGAGTTGCTGTGCGCATTGTTAGTACGGACTCGTTCGCGACGCAAAAGGTTTGGATGGGCGGTATCCCTTACCTGAAGAGCGATGGGTTGTCTGAGTTGACTGTACAAGGTATGCCCGCAGCCAGCAGTTCTGGGTATGGGTGTTCTTTGACGTTTCTGCAAAGGTGCAAAAGCTCATTCGAGATGGGACATAGCTCAATGCAGATACCTTTGCTGGTCTTCGTCTTCTTGAATTTCTCAATGAGATGGGTATGCTTCATGAGCGCGTATCCGTGGCCGATGCGCTTCGATTCCAGCGCCACTGCGTCGTAGAGGTTGGAGTTCTCCGGATCGGAGGAGCCGCCGGTGTCGAGCAGTGTCTCACCGGCGTGGAACATGAAAGGTATGTCCAGTTTGAGTTTCTTACACGTTTCCTGGAATGTAACGAGCTCTTTCCTATAAAACCCAATGTGGTTGGGCCGGTCCTCCGCGCCCACGAGATCGAAACCTAAGGGGATTAGAAACGGTTGCGCTCTGAGTGTCAGGTGCTGCTTACCACAAATAAGATCCGGGAATTCCATCTTGAGCGCTATGCAATCTCTCATTTCCTTTTGCATAAGCGGTATGGGAATAGACCGTGGTGTGCAATAGATGATCTTGAGTCCAAATGGGAACTTGTCATCGTTGCCATACTGCTCTGCAAGCATTTTCCTCTTTTCCTTCATTCCATCTACAATGAGTCGCATCTGTTCGTGGTTCTTGATGCGCTTCTCGTGAATGCCGCTGTCGGCAGGAATGAACTTGTCCAAAAGCATTGGTCGTAGTTCGGCGTACATGACGTTCTCCTCGATCATGCGGTCAATAGCATCGCCTATGTATTCTTTGTAGACGCTCTCATAGTTTAGTAAGCCTTTGAAAGCCCTGGTAGCTTGGTTGAAGCGAGCCCATACTCTGTGTATACGTTAGTGAGTACTGCGATGATGTAGGAGCAACACATACCCATTCACAGTCTGTGTAGGCCCATAGGCTTCATCAAGGCTAAGAACCATCTTCGATCTTAACCAGTTCTCAGCGGGACGAAGCTTGGTAGGCTTTGTCTGCCCACAGTGTTGTGGCTGTCCAGCTTGAAAAGTCTCAGGTTCTTCGTCTTGGTATTCACCTGGGAAATTTCTTTCAAATTCCTCCTGGAAGTCTGACCATGGCATCCAGGTAGTCTTCAGATAGCTTTCAGCCTTCGGGTTTTCCTGATCCATTAATTTGGGATAAGAGTCCGAGAAGACGTTGACACCAGGGTCGACGGTTGTTGGGTCGCAGATATTGAAAATCATCTCAGTCTCCCCCAGATGCTCCTTCTTTGTGATTGGTATGATACTGCGGATGTACATGTTCTTCATCTTGCGCGCTCGTACAAGAAGTATCTCAGGATGCAGTTCGGCATTGAAGTGAAGATGTAACAAAGCGCCCTTTGGAACGTTCCTGGCGATTTGGTATAGCTTGCTTTCGTTGTCTATGCGGTCCTTGTTGGTAAGATATTGACCGCCCATGTCGCGATCATTTTCTAAAGGCAGCGCTTCTGACGGTCGGTTACCGAAAGTAACAACCCGCTCATACTCGCGAATCGCTCGGATGATGGCAGCAGCCCTTTCCTCAACCTTGTCGTCTTTGGATCTGGATTTATCCTTGGGTCTCGCTGGTCGATCCCAAGCACTGTCGTTCTCTGCTTTCACGAGATTCTGTGTCTTTTTCTCGTGAGCAGTGGCTACTTGATCAATACCTTCCAGAACGGCTTTGAACTGGATCTCCGCCCTCTTCTGGAACTCGGTCAGATCCTCAGCGTTTGGGGAAGACATCTCGACGGTCTTTGGTTCTCCTGAATGTAGTGGTATCTTCCTAGTAGGTTGCGGGCTGAGGGCCCTCTTTCTCTTCTTTGGTGAGTCAGCTACAGTCATAACTGGTCGGTTTGAGTCTCCTGGAGAGTTGTGCCTGTCACGTACAAAGCTGCATCCAAAAGTCAACACAGCCGCGATAAACATGAGCCTTCACTTGGAGACTCACAATGTGGGGATGACAATACCACACGTTGCCAACAACCCCGGACGGGTTCTGTGGGACTCACTCGAAGTTTTGGGTTCGGCGTCAGTGGGCATGCCGATGACGATGGAATGAAGAAGCGTCTATCACCGGCTGCTCATGCCACCTGCGATAAGACTGCAGGTACAATGATGTGAAGCGACACGACTGGTTCACGCCGCTCTCGGTGACCTTTCTCGATTGACCGGTTTGGGCTGTGTATGATTCGGGATATCAAACACAATCCTTAGATCCCGTGAAACGAGGTTGGTTTAAGGCACACCCCGTGACTAGATAGTGCTCTAACCAGGCGATTGATATGGTGTACCAAATTCAAGTACCGCTGTCCCGCTTGTCGGCCTATTGCACGTAGCGAACTGGGTTAGTATTGGAATTCACAAGGTAGTCGCGGCTGTGGTTTGTTCGCTGCGCCTCATACCCCGCGGCTAAGAAAATGCGCGAGGCTGGGAGACGAGTGATGCCTGGAGCGATGGCACGACCAAGTACATTTGTCGTAGCGGCAGGATCAAAAGAAAGCTTGAGGAGAAGAAGAAAACGGCGACGTTTGCCCTGACTAGACGATGACATTTCTTGCGCTCATAAATTCTGATGACTGGGAAGGAGCGATGCCACCAGCACTATCGCGTGCCTGAGGACACGCAAGACAGAAGGAAGGAGCAACCACATACATCAGCGCACGCTTTTTTGCGTTCAATTCTTCCTTCTCTTGACAGCTCGAGTGAATGCGACACCACTTTTAACGTCTTTTCAGCGCAAACCTCGACGTTTCGTACAGTTGTCGCTATCGGATCGTGTCACGGGGATGTCAGCCTGGTGCGTGCGCCTGTTCTGGTGTTGCGAGCAGCAGGCGAAGATGGCGATCACAGACGAGTTCAAGCTCCACTCGCAGTCGGGGCGCAGCGATCCAAACTTTCGCGATGTCGTTGCGACAAGCGGATCAGTTACTAGAAAGAAGTTGGAAGTCAAGCTGAAGCTGGGCAGGACAGCCCATCGCTCACACGATGAAGGAGGCTATGCAAAAGCCTCATGCATTCTGCCATACGCCGGATAACCCTGGAGCCTAGCCACTGGCCCTGTCAGCCATGTTGCCCCTCACTTCTTCAGCCTGAGGCACCCAATAGCTGCACAAGCCCCAATCCATGGGGGCTGTGGGATTGCACAAACTCCCGTGTCCTCGAGACAGCGACTGTGCCTCCCTGACCGGCGTGGAATGAGGTGCCACACGCAGATCCGGTGGGCGCTGCACGCATGTTTTGGCCCCCAGCGTCTACGCTGTACGCGCGCATTTTCCTGCTCCACGCTGGGGCTTCGTCTTCATCATACATGCCTTTTTTTTTTGCCTCAATCCTGGCTCTGTTATATATACGCTTGCGGCCCTTTTGTTACTGCATCATAGCGCGTCGATTCAGATTTATGCATCGTTCCCATCACATCCAGCATCGGCCATCAGTTTGCACTGAGTTTTGAAGATCGCGTTTATCTTAGCGACATGTATTGGCTGCCCGCAGATGAGAACGGGAAGATATCACTCAATGAACTACAACTAGATATCGTTGGTTTCCTCGCCATCTTGGGCGAGGGTTCCGTGCTCGCCAATGCTCAGGTCTCGACGCTTTCGAAATGGATATTCCTACCACGGTTGATCCCGGCACCTCAAGCCCTGATGAGGCCGACGAGACCATTTCAACTAGAGCCATCCCGGGGTCACGTAACCGGCATCGTCTCGGGGAACCACAGGGATCACATCAATCATATTGGAAACATCGTCTGGTGAGTGCATCTTCTCGGTCAAACTCGGTAGCCGCCAGCTGCCACGAGGTACTTCCCCACACGTCTACCGTGGACCGGAGTCAACAATGCATTAGGCATCACACGTACCAATATACAACCATAGCATAAGCGTGCCATACTAACAAAGTACTAGTGACGCGAACAACCTGAAGCCCTTCTCCGTACGGGTTGTCGAAATCAAACGCGTCCACGACCGACCGCTCAAGGCCAAGACCTTTGGCCCGCTCACAATCGTAAACTTCATCGGCTTCGCCCTCTCTGCTCTCCTCCTTGCGCTATCGATATGGCAGGACGATGGCATGTCGGTGGTAGCGACGGTACTCCTCTCGCTTCTTTCCAGTCTGATCGGACTGGGTAACAAGTGGGAACTGGAACTGCCCTCGCGGAAATACAAAAAGACACCCGTACCAGGGGGAGACGTTGTCATTCGATATCCAAAGGGGTCTTTCCTGATCGTGCGTTGTGAGGAGGACGTGGCCCGAGAACTCTACTTTGCACCGGAGAACATCAACTACCTCTTGACGCACGGTCCGGCATACCGGATTCTGAGTTTAGTGGGCACTATGATGCTCATGGGAGGTGTCATCTGTCTTGCCAATGCTCAAATTCAGGTTCAGATCGCCTGGGCTGGTTCTTACATGCTACTGGGCGCTTCGTACTGGGTTGTCGCTGCCTTGCACAGCAAGTTGCACTGGGACACCTCGTGTTATGAAGTCAGAAACGAATGCCTCTCTGACTCCGATATGGACAAGAAAGGATACCCTTCGGAAAACGAGACGTTTACACAAGCTCTGTGGAGGGCCATTTGTGTCAGCAAAGAGATTGCATGGGTTAAAATGAGCGATGCTTGTCCTGATACCGAGGCCTGGCACGAATGGCTCCTAGAGGCAAAGGCATGTAGTGAAGACTTCCAAACGGTTGAAGACGAGGAGAAGTCGAGAGGCAAGACAATGTGGGAGGTCCCCGAATGGGACGCACAGGGTTCTCTGGGGAGACTGCTGGCTGAGCATGCGGGACGCCAGAAAAAACTCATTAGACAGAAGGTCGAGTCAGCTTGACCAGTTTCATCGGGCTTCATGGACATTCATTTTGGGGTTATGCATAGCGCTGGGACACGACAAACTAACCATCATACAACGAAAATCCTTCTACGACGAGCGCTCATTATACGATTTACGATTTACGACTGAGAACGACGAACTTACCGCGGAGCCACCGTTGCCATCATCTTGTACTATCTTACAACACTCGAAACCTACATCAAGCTTTCATTCATACGTCTCGCATCGTTAGCGCTTTGGGCGTTCTTGTATCTAAAGCATTTTTCCCATCGCAGAAAAAACACACACAGCAGTATTTATACAAAGCTCGCCATTCGCACCAGTCACCACTGCTCGCCAACGCAACTTGTCATATCTGTGTCATACTCTCGAGTCACGCACACATCACCACACCGCGATCAATGCTTGTCAAAACCGGTGTTTCCAGCGTTAAATAGCCTTGGATTCTGCGCAGTCATCTATAGCCGGCGCAACGCTGCGTCCAAACAACGCAGACTCATGTTCGCGGTATGACACCTGGACACACCGTGCTCAGCTCCAGACTCACAGCGGCTTGGCAACTCCGAGTAACCTCGTGGAATGGGAACCACGAGTACAGAGCCGAGGGGAGCGACGAGCCCAGTAACGGGCTCTCCCCGATCTAAGACCATCCTCTCGAGTCACTGGTTATGTGTCACTCCTGCTGGCTGACGAAGAACCCAACAGCGAGAGCCTCAGCCTCCGTCTTGCAGTCATCATTGTATCTGCGCGACCAGACTTCAGGTAGCGCTCTTCCACCGCTGCTCGTATTCCACCTTCCTTCTGACTACACTCCTCAACCACTTTTCCAGATTCTCTCCCTCGACCTGCGCATCGACGTCCATGGCATCGCCTTCAGCCTCCAGTCTCACACCACCCTCCTCTTCTTCGTCTTCGTCTCCACAGCATGCATCTTCGGCCATCTGGCATGCCTCGTTCCACTCCTCGTAGCTGAAGTTTCCCTCGCTTTCGCTCAGCAGCATCTTCCTGTTACCAGAAAATGCGAAGACATGCACAGATCGTATGGGTTTCGCGCGTAGTAGTTCGTTCGCGGTGGGCGAGAGTAGGGGTGGGAAGGAGTTTGTAGACGGCGAGGCGGGTTGTGCGATCATTACGGAAGTGAGGACTGTGCGGAGGGGTATCGATGCAGAGAGGAGCGCGAGGAGCGCAGTGTGAAGAAGGTGTGGGAGGAGGGTCAGAGACTGGGGCTGTTAGCGGTTGATGGTCATGGGGGACGGTATCGCGACTGGACATACGGTATTGACGCCCGCTGTGCTGTCTTCCTCCGGTAAACTCCTGACTTGGAGTGTGATTTGTACAAGTGTCCGTGGTATCGCTCGGGTCAGAATTACACTGCGCAGTGTGTTGTGTACCAGTGTTTCGAGATGTCGTTCTCTTGGACCTGGATGCCCGTCAGTATACCAATCACTACCCCAACAAGCGTAAACACATACTTCCAACTCCCATAGCGGGTCTGACGTTCACCTCGATCGCTGCTTCCTCGGGTAGTTCATCGCGTCGCTGTACTTCGATCGGACCATTGACGGCGCCAATGATCGAGTAGCCATTGTGGGTATATGTCGCAGAACCATCGGCGCGATTCAAATGCGTGAGGGTTACTGTAGGTGCGACCATGATTTCGTGACCCGATTCGTATGCGCGTCGTGAATGAGGAGTTCGCCTTTCCGTACTGTCAACTGTGTAGGTGGTGGGAGGAGGTGTGCGATCGGATCGGAATGCTGAGTAAGCCAGTAGACACGTCGATTCAAAGGGCCTTAATGCGCAAAAATTGGACGAAGGGGTGGGTGCTCTAAGATGCGCCTCTGCACCTCAGTGACGATATGCCATCTCCAAAAGTTTTGGTGGGGATGGCGCTCAGCCCAGCTTGTGGCTCAAGCTCCAGACCTCGGCGCATCACCGCGGCCAGCTCAGCCATGCGACAATTGAGCTGTCTGCCAGCCTCCACTCGCACTTTCACCGCCATAGACATACAACGCATCGTCTCCACCCACTATAACATTACCATCAATATCACGACCCTTCTCAGACATATATAGACACCATGGCAGGCTCGTCGCGCAACGCATCGCCCATCAAGCGCCTCATGACCGAACTGCAAACATACCAACACGACTCCAACGACGCGCTTTACGAACTCGGACCTACAGACGACGATGTGATGCAATGGAGAGCGGTTATGAAGGGTGTAGAGGGAACGGCATATGAAGGTACGCAGAACCCGGCGCATACTTCTCTTCACCGCCTACAGCATCACCACATTCACTTACTAACACATCACAGACGGCTGCTGGCTCCTCTCCATCGCTATCCCCTCCACTTACCCCCTCACTCCGCCCACCATCCGCTTCGTAACGCCCATCTGCCACCCCAACGTCGATTTCAAGACGGGCGAGATCTGCCTCGATCTACTCAAGACCGCTTGGACACCCGCGTATACCATCTCGTCGACTCTGACGAGTATACACCAATTGCTCACTAGCGCTGAGCCGGACAGCCCGCTCAATGTGGATGTTGCGCAGCTATTCAGGACAAACGACGACGTTGGGGCTAGGAGTTTGATCAGGTTTTATACTGTTAGCGAGAAGTATGATTGGAAGGGGAAGAGATAGGCTGTATAGCGTGATTTGGGTTGGAACAGATGTGGCTTGTTGTACATTAGCGTAAGAAGGCTATGTCGGAGGATTTATTCGGGCGTTTGGTTTGATTTGGGACGAGATACCTACATTGGAGAGCGCGAACGCATCATGTATTCGCAATGGAGTATTTTACCGACACATCATCTACATCTCTCGCACTTGACTTTCCAAGATCGATTTAATTACCGACAACGTCATCAAGCCCGACACAGCCCGCCACATGCACGTGGACCCACGGCTGTGTTTCAACTTCAGCTCCCCACAACACTTCTCGATTACGCACTCCACTGATCGCCAATGCAGCATCTCAGACTGAGCAGTCATAGACGAGAAAGATCGACGGTATCCCTTCTTGTCCGAGTACGGTTCATACAAGCGGCCTGGATCGACCGCTAACTTGACCTCTCCATGCGACTTCCTGTTGACTGTGTTGCATGCGGTACGTACTCTTTACACAGTTCAAATGATTATCATTACGAGGCCTGCAGTGAGATGTGTAGAAAGTGCTTTTGGCGCTTAGCATGGGAGTTGTTAGGCAAAACTCCGACGGACACATTTGTCTGGCGCTTAGAACGGACCGTAGTAAAGGTCGAGATCACGTCATTCGATCCCCAGGGACTTCCGATACGAAAGTCCGGCTACTAAGTTCAGGTAGCGGGAACTAGTAATGCGTCGTCTAGGCGCTCGGGAACTTTGATATGCGCTCGGCATGTGAAGTAGAAGCAGTACCGATTTATACCTAGAGAGTAGTTTGCAGCTTGTTTCAGATCGACTACTTGCTAAAAGCCCAGAAAATTGCGGTTGTCTAGATTACAAAACAAATGCTAAGATACACCGAAACATGAAGAAGATCGGGTACATCCCCCGAGCCCTTCGTCTCAAAATACCAACATGACAAACACCCACCGCGGAACCAAGAAAAGCAAGAAAAAACATGATAAGCAACCGGATCTACCCATGCCGGCTGTGGCTTAAGCCTCGCAAACAGTAACAATACATAGTGTCGACAAGTTTCGTCTACCCGCCCCACTTTCACTCCACTTTCCTCAGCTGGTAAGCGTGGAAACTACGCAAGCCACAACACTCCATGCTCAAAACTGGTCCGCTTCAGCACTTTAACGTTGAGCCTCAGTATCCACTTCTGCTGAAGTCATGCGACCACGATCGAGCGATGGTGGCTTGTGTCCAGGCAGTGTGCGTTGTCGTGGGAGGTAAGGTGTCGCTGTACGGAAGAAGGCATGTTGTGCGAGCGTGCGATCGCACTTGCTTTCCGACCTTCCCCTAGCTTGGGTTGATCATGCGGTGAAGAGGTAGCAGAGGGGGCTCAACCTGCGGTGACGGTCCATTGAGTGCGTCGCCAGCCTTTGGTCGAGACCGTGACCGTACGCTCGAGGAGTGACTCTTGGTCTGGAATACTGTTTGGCGAGACGCGACGGGTGAATGAGATAGTTGACAGTTCTTCGGGTATGTCTTCCGAGGGTGGCTCAGTCTTGATAATTGTCGACTGAGTTCTGTCGTGAAGTGACTCTTCGGTCTTAATGGTCGGTAATGGCACTGGGTAGTAGGGCGCGTCGTATGGTCCTGGTAGGTTCTGCGGCGGTGATATCCAAGGATAGATCGGAGACAGTACTGGCTGGAGTGTCTCTTGTTGGAGCGAATGGAGGTACTGGTTCGGTTCCCGGTCGAGCGATGGCCGACGAACAAAGACATCGTTCTGTCGTTCTATGCTTGACTTCTCTTCTAAAGTAGCGCCGACAGTCTTTACATTTTCCCCTTTAAGATGTGCTTCCTCTTGATATGAATCTTTTCTTTGGTGAATGGCCAACTTCTTCTCTTGATTGATGGGCAAGTCACTTTGATCCATACCCGGACTAGTCATCCTTCTTCGTCGTCGTGCAAGGAAAGCCGATCTCGAAGCAGTGGAAAAGAGCGCCAACAACAAGAACACTTCAAAAAGATGCCGTAGACTGACGAGCGGGAGCCGCCTTTCTGTACTGAGCGAATTCGTTGGGTTGGGAAGTGGAGGCATAGGTACAAAATGACGCCGACGGAAGACAAGTGAGGCTTGGTGGGATCCACTCAGACTATGAGAAGCGTGGGATGATGCAGGTCCTAGATGAACTAGCCACTGCGTCAGTCAAGAAGACGGGGAAGCAACCGCTTTCATACAACTTACTTCGAGTAAGAACGGGAATGACTGTTAGCATAAGCACTAGGATCGGAATCCTCCGTTGTATAGTAGAGAACTAATAATACTCGGGTACGGTTATTGTCTCGTTCCTCTAGGATTGGCACCGGGGTCTATGTATAAATAAGGATATCGCATGTGAGAGTCAGGTTTGTTCCTGGGGCATCAATCTCTGCGGAACGCGCCATCCTGGTCTACGTATATGCTTCGACGGCGACATCAGCACGCCCAGATACGGTTGAAACATCGAGATATCGGCGAGCTAGCGCGGCGTAGTCCTGGTGACGAAAGCTGGTGGGCAAAGTGAAGCGTAAGCCCACGATGCGCAAATCAAGCAAAAGGCAACAAACTGATCGTGTTCAGCTGTGACGAATAGCGCCCGTGGAAGGCATACATCACGGATTCTGCTGGGGTAGGCATGGTTTGGTGCGTGGCCTCAGCAGGACGACCAGTGTCCTCGTGTCTTGGCTGGTGGTATCTCAGCTGAGTTTGCGATGGTGGCGTTTGTTGTGGCTAACGCCACTGGTTCACTGGCCTAATCGGCAGGGGTGACCCGAGATCTGATCCTGCGCGCAAGAACAACGGCGAGCTGGCTTGACACGTATGGCGAGACCTTTGCGCGGATGTAGGGGCCGCCAGTTGGAACGATGCAGTTGCGCCATTACGGGCGTTAGAGCGAGGTGTGGTGGGTGAGTAAGGCGTCCCGTGACGGATCGGTTTCAGCTTCTGCAGGAACGCCAACCGAAGGGCAGGCGCTCATGATACGTCGGGAAACAACTTAAGCAATATGTAAGAGAGGCGGCTAAACAAAGACTCGCAGTTGAAGCAGAATAGCAACACGCACAAGCATCAGTATATTCAGGGAAACAACCGCCACACATGTGCTTTTTTGCGGGGCGGTACCCTTTTTCAACCCCAAGGAACCACATCGCGTGAGAGGCGGCTGGTGCGCGATGCTGGCTTAGTGGGTTGTCATCACGTCTCGATCTTTACCAAACTCAACCGTTGTATGTGGCTGTCGGGACATGAGTCAATCCGTCGCGTCTCCGACAGCCATTCGTGGAATGTCCACGATCTGGAGTACATCATGCGATCCCCACAACACCACGCGATATTGAAGAAGCTGGGCAAACCTCAAAAACAGGTTCTCGGTAGCGAGCGCGCATCGAACAACGGCGAGGTTGGCTATCTGTCAGCTGGAGGTTATGGATGGAACCTGGAAGATACCGAATGTATGGAGTACGGCGTAGGAACTACCTAGGTACCGAGACGCGATCACTCGCATTCATGAGCTCGAACCTGATACACAGAAGCCACTTCCCTATCGACAGATCGGTGGCTTTAACTGGCCGCGTGCAATATTACCTCCCCCAGGCTTCGACTACCCTCGCGAATTCAGGTTTCCAGCAGCTGCACCAGTGTCCACATTCTAGTGATCTTGTAATCCTTGCGTAGATCGAGCACGCCTCTCGCGAACAGTTGCCTCAATTTCGGAGACGCCGTTGATGCGAGAAGATCCACGTCTAGCGGATTCGAGATCAATACCAGCGGCTTCGAAGCAGGAGCACTGGGTCATCATCAGACGCGCGGGAGCTTGGGTAAGCCCCTGAATGTAACGATGGGGATGCATCGATGGTGTTGGTCCTGTCGATCTTACGCAACGTCCAGCTGTCCTAGTCTACTCATCACGGCGATGCCGTCGCCACGTGAGCACGTGACTAGCCCCTACACTAACGCTTCTAGATCGGGCAGGTGGTCACATAACTGAGTGAGATTCCATGAAAAAATGAACTCAAATAATTGTAACAGATTGCCAAGGCATTTTTGCAAGAATCCGCCTGACCTGTAATCTCATGGTATAGAACATGCCGACTCTTTCGTATTTCCCCGTCCCATGTCTGGCTGGTATCAATACCAATCCAATGACTGTTTCGCTTTCGTGCGCAAGTCTCTTCTTGACCCCAACGATGGGCAGGAGCGTGAGTACTTGGTCCTCTGAAATGATATCGATACATTCCCACCTTCCTCGAGATGGCGTGCCGTCTACTGCTGTGTCAAAAAAGATTTCAGAACCAGACGAACTGTCTAGTGTGACTGATACCGGAATATGGCTGCCGGATTTTTGTGGGAAGACCTAGGTTATCTTGCCAGTTTTGAGCTCAAGTGAGAATTGACTGTTGTGATTGACTGTCCAACATACCGAGGCTAACGGGCCAAGAAGTTTGACGTACCCATTACTCACTTGACCGAAGCGATAACCGTCAAGGTCAGTCACTACAGCCTTCTGGAGGACCGTTAGGTAGTCGTCAGAGTTGTAGTTGTGTTGACAAGATGCAAGTGAGATCTTGCCTTTGACTGAGGCCCAGGACCATGTCGGCGCGATGAATCGTTCTGGGGATGGACGCGTCGGTAAGGCGCCCGATAATTCGTTTTTCGTAGTTTTCCATAGGAAGTATGCAGGCAAAGAGGACTGCCACAGGCCTGCGAGATAGCCGTCCCCAGGTGCGCCCGGTTCAACGACGGACACACTGCTTGCAATACCTGCCAGAGCTGGTAGTTTGTCACGATCAAAGGTGATGCTGGACGTGGTATACAATTCAACAATCGCATCCCAATCCTGAAAAACGGACGCAGACTTCATAGCAGCGTGCATCGTAACTTGCTGAATGGAAACAGGCCCAAACGTTGCTCTGATGGCGTTCAAGAGTCTCCTTATAGAGCTGATTCCCGATGGAACCTGCGAAATGTATTTTGCTGGCCAACGGTCATCTCTTGTCTCGTCGCC